CATTCGTTGCTGACGCTGTACAATCTTGTTTCTCTTATTGAAGGATTTTCTTCATTTGACACATTTGTCACATCTAAGTAATTTTGAAAAAATAAACCGCCTTGGGTTTTCAATTACCATAATGTTTCAAGGTAATAAATTTATTTTTCAATTATTTCAGATACAAGGAAAGTGGCCCTAAGAAAAAACACACGATATCCATGCATCCATCAGAAAAGACACATCCACCGCGGTGTCAATGGTGAGTTTATATGTGTACACCAGTCATCTAAGTTAAACACCTGGTAATGGGTTAAGTTAGTAATGACGCACAGTCACCTGAGTGTAATTAGGCTGGCATTAAGTGCTTTCTACAAAAAGAAAATTTGATACTTTGAATTCAATGAATAAAGTGACCTGTGCTCTAAACTACAACATGAGATCTTTAAAATATAGCTATGTATATACATTGCTTATGCTCAGACTTTGAAAGATATTGATATCATCACAATTAATGGAAAAGCTCTGCAAAGTTGGGATCATACAAAAGAGAAAAAAATATCTGTGTCTGCAGGAGATAACGTATGGCAAGTCAATCGAGAAAATGACGACAAGTCTCAATCATTTTAGGAAATTTATTTGCCAGGAAAGTTAAGGACATGGCACCTGGGGACAGGTGTATAATTTCTCCAAAGATGATTTTCTCTAAATTTAAAGGGGGAAAGGTGGGATATTGAGAAGTACACAATTTTCATGCAAAGGTGGGTAGAAAAAATAGTGATTCGTGCATTTTTTTCTGCCTTATGAATCTGGATTTTTTTACATAAGATGACATAAAAACAAATGATAGAGGAATAATGCAGGAGAGCTGCATTTTATATAAGACAAATATAGCAAACGCCAGCAGGGAAACAATCGGATATGCATTTGTGTCTGGTGAATTGGGGATGATTGCGCCTGTAAAGACAAGCTGCTATCAGTTTGCATTGCCATGGTGTAACTTTTTTAACAGCTCATGAGGAATTTCTTGTGGGCAAAACATGGGGGAGGTATGTAGCTTTTCATCTTTGTAGCCATATTATTTAGAACCAGAAGAGGTGCAGGGTTTGTGTGACCTGTTCTCAGCTTGATTTTTCCCTTTGGTTCAATGAGCTTGGGGTGCCAAAATTTAATTTCCTTTTCACACAAGTAACACTAAGATTACAACTGGGCTCTACCACCGAATGGTTGGTCTAGGATCCAAAGGTGGTGAAATGAATGTATAGATGTATGTCGTAAAAACTTATTAAGAGCTTTTAATCTTTTGTCCTGAAGGAGAACTCTCTCATTTTGGAGGATCCCTTTGAATGTAATGATTTGGGAGAAGATTGCACTCACAGTTCCACAATGACCAGTGTTTGCTAACTCAGAGTGAAAGAAACCCTACGTCAGCAAACAGTGTGGAAAATCCCTTAGTAATCAGTTCTCCCCTAAACCACATAAACAAATTCATACTAAAGGTAAATCATATCAATGTAATATATGTGAAAAGGTTCATACTAATTGTTTTCACCTTAGATGGCACAAGATGACTCACACTGGAGAGAGGCCATATGCATGTCATCTATGTGGAAAATCCACCAGTGTTCTCACCTAGAAGATATGAGAAAACTCACAGGGGAGAGAGACTTATAAGGTCATCAGTGTGGGAAAGGCTTTATTCAATCCCCTTTAACCTTCTGAAGACAGAGAGAACTCACCTTGGATAAAAGCGTTATGAATGTGATAAAAGTGGAAAAGTTCTTTAGTCAAAGCTCTGGCTTTAGAGGACATGACAAGAATTCACACTGAAGAGAAACCACATGCTTGTCTTCTATGTGGGAAAGCCTTCAGTCTATCTTCTGACCTTAGATGATATGAGAGAACATGCACTGAGGCGCTTTCATGAATGCCATTTATGTGGGAAAGCCTTCAGTCAGTGTACTAATCTTAAATAACATCAGAAAATTCACCCTGAGAGAAAATGATAAAATTGTCTCAGAATACATATTCTGACTTTTAGATGACATAGTGTTAGGAATGACGAATGTAAAGTGAATATGGAAAGAGACTTTAAGTTGCAGTTGTAACGCCTAAACATGCTAAAGGATCTACATTTTGAAAAATTACTATGGACGCGCATTTCGGTTACCTTTATTCTTCAGTCCTCATCAAACCATGGAAGAGAAATTGTATGACACGTATGCTCAAAGACTTGTTATATCTGATCATAAATGACAGTATAGAGCTTGAAACTGTCAACATAATAAACTAAAAGTCTTCAGCAACAGTTTTAATAACTTAAAACGTGTGGGACTTTCAGGTAGAGAATCTCTAGCTCTGTGTTCAGTGTGAAAATGTTTTTATGTAAATTTGTTGTTAAATAACGTAAGAAAACTTTACCTGGATGAACCCTTTATTTGTATTTTTCTGTGAATAAAATATCCAGCCAAGCACTAGGCTTGATGTTCACAAGAAACACAGATAAAATGCTGCTAAAATGGAAAATAAGAGAGGAAATCCTTTATAAGCTAAATAAGAAGGGAAAGTCTTTCCAAGGGCAATGAATTCTCTTGGAATACCAAACACTTCTTACTGGAGAAGTTATGCCTTGAAAAATCATGAGAAATCCTTTCTTCACAGAGAAACGCTTTGTGGCACATGAGATTTCACACTGACAAAACATGTTACCATCTTGAAAGGAGAAGATTCTTTAGGGGTAATTCATTTCTTATTTGACATTAAGCCATTGGAGGAGCTATCAAACTTGAAAATCACTGTGGAGAAACCTGATAGATTTCTCATCAGAAAAGTGAGTCAAGAAGGTAGACTCTAGAAAAACTCTTAACATATAGTTTAGCATAATAATTCAGAAATTTGAGAAAATGTCTATTCATAAAATGCAGCACATAAACGCATAATAGCAAAGTGACCTGGGTACAAATGAATGCAGAATTATATAAGGAAATCTCATTAAAACATTTCCTAACAGATCAATACTACAATGTTGAAAGAATACAATCGGGTTGTTGAAAACTTAGTAAAAGTTGGGTGGTCCTTCTTCATTTATGCAGCCCTAACAAATCGATTTGCATCTGCATTCCGGCTTTATGGTCGAGATTCTACCCCAACTTTGAGTCTCCCAGTCTTCAACGGTTCTTTCCTCACAGCTCACCTCCCCTTTACTTCAATGTCCACCTAAAACCACTTGTTTCCATCCAACCCTAGAACTGACACATCAGGGATCTTCAGCCCCACTGGCCAGATTTCCAGTGTGTCATTGCATAGATTTAGCAAGGAAATGTGGAGGCTGACCTGTGACACCTAGCATATGCATTTGGGTGTCCCCAGCCTCGCCTGTGTCTCTGAGTAGTTACCTCCAGGGACTCTGAGAATAAGGCAGCCCTGCCTTCTATCCTCAGAAATCTCTTTTTGAAATTTTGTCCTGAAGCCTTCAAGTGGAGGTAGCAGTTCATCTCATGACACACCTGCAGAATTTACTCAGGTAAGTCTAGTTATTACACAGAGACAGACACAGTTGTGTTCCTTTTTACTTCTATCCAGAAGATAAAACGCCAGCATGCCAAAACTGTTTCTAACCTGTCAGCCACCATGTGCCTTCCTATTCGATTCAATGTAATTTTCCAGAAGCAAATGAAAGTTCACAGACAGGGCCTCCTCTGCCTTGTCCCTTGGTGAATTGGAAAATGTATTGTCCATCGAGGAGCCTCAGTACTGAACCTAAAACTCAAGAGAAAACATTTCCTGAATAATAAGTGGGATGACGACTTGAAATTTTGCAAAACAGGCACAATCTTAATAATATAGGCCTTACGAAGGCTAAATGGCCTTATCCATGGTTGAAATTGACACATAATTATATTAAAAAAATCACAAGTGATTGATTTTACTCAGCAGCCAGGGTTTATGTCAGGTGTGAGGATAACGAGCAAGAACGGCTTTCTCGGCAACTGGTTGAGAGGCAAGGATTGTGTCCAGGTAGAGCTCATAACATTATTTATTGTTTAATCTATTTAATTAAACATGTAATTTACCCTCAAACTGTGGCTGACATTATATGTAGTCCTGAGCCACATTAAGATGTACTATTTGTGCTCTGAAATTCTACGGGATTTGACAAGTGCATGGTGGCAGATCTCCAGTATTAAAGCATAACACAGAATGCTTTTATTCAAGCTCTTTCTTCCTCTTCACGTAGAGAGAATCAATCGACTTTTGTATACTAACTTTCGAATTTGTTTCTTTATTCCCATCTTCTTTAATTAAAGCACAAGATATCGATCAATTTCCATTTGACTTTCCAAAAGAAAGGCACTTTGAATAACCATACCTGAATTTCTCAGTGATTCAAAGCAGACTCAGGTCCACCGCTAAACAGTAAAGGCCAAACGTCCTGTGCTGCCACCTCATGGCCGGCAAAGGGCAATGAAATCCATCGTTCCGGCCATGCAGGGCGCATGCGCGGTCTGCTTCCTCCGCGAGCCAGACTTCCAGGGAGTGACCTGAGTTTTTAGCCAGGGTGAGGCGGCGCGCTGCCCTGGCTTTGGGGCTGGGGCCTCCGGGGAGGTTCCGGGTGGGGGCGTTGAAGAGGCTGCGCTCTTGCAAGGCTCAAGATGGCGGGCCCTGCACAGGTCAGCGTTGTTCGCCCCTCAGGGCGTCAGTATCCTCGTTGGGGCCGATGCTCCCGCTGGGCCCGAGCATCTCTTGGTCGCCCGCAGAGCCGCACTGAGGCTGAGGTGGCATGGGGCCTGGCTCCGAGAGGGGAGTGGCGGCAGCGAGGGCTGGAGACCCGGCCCGGGGGCCCGAGCGCCTGGCCTGGATGGGACTGAACCCAACTGTACTGGGACTCTGCCCCAGCGGTGGATCCTGGCAGGCTCAGGACCAAGTCCCTCTCCTTCCACCAAGGAGCTCAGAGGCCAGGCGGAGCTCCAGGTTCACCTCCCTCCTTTCCAGGTGTTTATTTCTTCTTTATTTCCTGTAAGGCCAGAAATTGGCGCCATCCTTCACATCGGTGAATCGGGACCCTAACACCCATTACCCCAGGTTTATTGTTATTGCCATTAACAGTGTTGGTGGCATTATCATTTCAAGACCATCATTGATTATTAGCAGGTGGGTTCATCATTTTGTCTCACTATGCATTTTTTTTTTTTTTTTTTTTTTTTTTTTTGTGATTGCTCTGTATGACGTTGAATTGAACTTCTAACGGACTAGTGTCAGATTCCTGAAGAGCATTCCTCGGAGGACAACTCCTGCCTTTAGTGCAGCCACAGAATCTCAAACAGGAGAGCACCTAGAATATTCCCTTCACGCCAGCAGCCGGTGAAATGGTGGCTGCCTGGCTCTGGAGATGAGGAAAAGACCGGACACTGGGGCAAAGTGGATGGCACCTCCACTGATGCTTTTACATGGCTAAAAGTGCACTGTCTCCCACGTAGACTTAGAATAAAAATCTGATGGCTCTAAAAAGGCCATGTTTGCCCTTCCTGGACTCCTGGAGCCTTTAAACCTTGTGTGGTTCCTAAAGTGGCTAAGTTGCCATATCTGTGCCTTCGATGGCAGCAATTCAGTCTTTTCTGGCCAACAAGGCACGCCAGAATGTTTCCAAGCTCAGGCATGCTGTCTCTGTTCCTCCCTTCTGTTCAATGGCAATTCACTGCGTCCCTGGCTTATAGTATAGAACATCCTGCAGAGGGATGGGGTTGGGTGTGACTTCCTGGCCAGCCTTCCAGCAGTTATCTTTGAAAAAATCTGAAGAGACCCACATGAGGCCATTCACTGGTATTTCATGACTGTGCAATGTCTTTGAGTTTACTTAGAATATCAGAATACTTGAATGGCCAAGAAACTCCTCCTGGCCTTGGGAAGTTGTCAAAAGCTATTACTGGGCCTCTGAAGAGTCTTTAAAATTTTTCAGGGTGCAGCTGAGAATAGAAACTTTTCCAGGTTCATTCAACCAGCTCAGGCCGAGTCCTAAAAACTGATGGGTGTATTGGGGAACTCATCTTATGAAAGAGCAATTGGTGGCAAAGCTTGGTCTCCAGGACAGCTGTGTGTGTATATGTCTGCAGAGCATGTCTTGTAGTCATCTTTAGTAACTGAAAACCATTTGTGAATGGATAAACTATATTCCTTGCTGTACAATAGTGAAAAAAATTCATATTAACAATGGTAGTAATGTGGTAATATTGATGAATATTACCAGAATGATGATCATCATGATACTAGTACTAGGTTATAATATCATAATAATACTAACCTCAAGTGGACTTGGGACATACAAGTTTTCCCTAAGTGTATAATAGGCATAAATATTTGGTGGTGTAGGGTTATTTCCAAGTCCCAGAAAGCAAGGATGAACATCTAGAACTAGAAGAAAACTATCTGGAGGTTGGCATGTACACACCTGGGGATTCCTGTAAGTTAACTTCTGGTGTTTCAGCCTCAAGAGGAAATGTGTAAATATGAATCCTGGTCCTGCAACACCATGCTGACCAACACCTACCAGCTTTCAGGAGATAAGATAGCTGGCTGATGGGACAGGGATCCAGAGAAGTTACGTGTCCAGACCAGTACATGTTGCCCAAAGTGGCAGAGTTCATGACAAGCAATAAACCCCAGATAATGTCATTCCAGCCACCTGACTGTCATCTGCTCTTCATGGCCCTCTCTACTGGTACCTCTAGGCACTGCATGAAACCTCTGAGAGGCTGTAGGAGGGCATCATACTCAGTACTCACCCACCTGCAGGAGGCAAGAAAGATGGAAAGAGCTAAATACCATGGTTTCTGGATTCTTTTTGTGGCATGGCATATTTCGTGATTTGCTTACTAATGTGGAACCTAGTCAATGGTTTGGTGGAACATACTCTGATGACTTGACACCTGTAGAGATTTTGACAATTTCCTGAAGGTCACAAGTTCTGGAGACTTTTTCTTGGGTGAGTTCTTTGACTGGTAAGGGTGTTCAAAAACTACCACCCCACTAAAATGTTGCAGAGGCTGGGTGCGGTGGCTCATGCCTGTAATACCAGCACTTTGGGAGGCTGAGGCAGGCAGATCTCGAGGTCAGGAGTTTGAGACCACAGAAACCCCATCTCTACGAAAATACAAAAAATTAGGGGGCGGTGGTGGCATGCACCTGTAACCCAGCTGTCAGGAGGCTGAGGCGGGAGAATCGCTTGAACCTGGGAGTCGGAGGTTGCAATGAGCCACGATTGTGCCACTGGACTCCAGCCTGGGCGACAGTGAGAGACTGTATCACAAAAAAAAAAAAAAAAAAAAAGAAGAAGAAGAAGAAGAAAAAGAAAATGTTGCAGAGACTCTGGTGAACAGGTAGTCCCTCTCCTGCTACCCAGGTAAAAGTTTCTTGGCCACAAACCTGATTTAGCAGTATCCCTTCATCTTAGGTGGGTAACAGAAAACTATTCATGACTCATCCAAGGATGGAGGGGGAACTTGACTTAGGAAACTTTTAGGTGGACTAGTTGGTGAAAGAAAGGGCACTGTAGTCACAGGTCACATAGAGTTGCTAGCACATAAAGCATATGTATGAATTCTTTCTGAACCCATGGCACATCAGGTGCACTTCATCCATCTCCTATGCTGATATGAATAGGTACTTGCCTAAAAATAAAAGAATAACTCACGAAGCCCATTCTACAGGACACTCAGGTGATACAGTAGAGTCTTTGGGTTGCTGTGGTATGTATGTTTACTATTGTCTTTAATCATCTTCAGCAAATCTAACAGTCTTCAGAACATAAAAAAATTATTCAACACGTACAATAACTACCACAAATATATCCATGATAAAGAACTGTACCCACATAATAATAACATTAATAGCAATCATAATGGTGTGGATATAAATGTTACTTAATGAAGAGAATAATTAAAGCTGGTATTTAAGAGCATATTCAAGCCTGTGACATCGTTCCCATGCAGCCTCATGCTGTTGATTACAGAGAGAGAGGCTTGGAGCTGCATCTTGAATATCTTCTCGTGATGGCAAAGAAGAGGCGGCATAGAGAATAATTCTGAGCCAGCAAGGAGGACTTGACAAAAAGTGGAGATGCCTGTGCCGCGTGGAAATACATTACCAATGGACTATGGAAAAGGGTCTGCCAGAGTCCGGCCTGACACAGGTCATAAAACTTCTTTCAGTAGTTCACCCAATGAAAACACTGGTCCAGGCTGTAGATGAGAAGCACTGGCAGACAGATCCACACTCCTCGCGCCTCTTCTGGAGTCTCTAAAGTCTGTGCATCGAACATTAAGCCCCCAAGCCACTGGAGACTTCACCTCCTGTCTGGTCTTCTACTATCTGATTCTTGAGCCCCATCATTTAAGCATCTCCATACTGGAATTGCTGACAATGTCTGATGGAGGGTTTCACTCCCTGGGTAGCTTTGGGGTACCAGCAATGATGAAATAATTGGTGAAGGGAGGGCTCCAGAGCTTCCATTAAGAAGATTACTCTAAAGTTGCTTCGGGTGATGAAATGGTCATCTCATAGATTTTCAGCAGAACTGCAGCATTTTGTGAATACCTGAGTGAATGCAGAAAGTGCATCCAGACGCATGGGCATTCTAGGCTCCTGTGTAAATCAAATACAAGGAATATCTACTTCTGGGCTCAAAAGTCAACTTAGAAAATAAAAAAAGTGAGATGCTGGTAGAAGGCAAATAACTCCACTTCAGTTCCTGAGAGAAAATGGTTCTGGTAACCTCTGAGTTTATTTAGAAAAATTTGGAGCCTCAGAAAGACCAAGTATATCATTCCTGACAGCCAGGACAGATTGGACTGCGAGCTCTGGGACTATTCTAAGTCCTCTCAGGTTTCCATGGGAAACCGTAACTCTACTCCTAGAGCTCACACCACCCCTGAGCAAACTCATTGTTTTCTAAATATTCCAAGAAAGTCCATCCAGGGTATGCCTGTATTGGTGAATTTCACCTTGGACTGGCAGGAGAACTCTGAGAATGATACATCCTGACTTCACTTGATAAAGGTAGGGGAGCCAAGAAGTCCAGATCTGGAGAGCACCTGAAACACCAGATGGCAGAAGGACAGTAAGGAGGTGAAGTCAGCTATGGAGGTGGAGCTTCATGTTTACTGCATGTAGGATTCTGAGTTCCAGGACTGATGGGCTGGTGGGGATGAGATCCATGTCTTCTTTGCAGGGAGCCAGGCCAAACCAGCCATCTGGTTGCACTACTGAAAGCTTTTGTGTGCCCAGTGGTAGGCAAGACACAAGCCAAACTCTCTTCACCTCTGGCTGGTAGTCCTTGACTAGAGAGGTTTGCACACAAGTGGTCCTATTAGCCCATGCTCTCCTGTGGCTTGCTTTCCTTTCACCTGTTTCTCATGTTTGCCATCATGGAACACATTTCATAGTGAAATTCTTTGACTCTGACTCCAAATTACACAAGGAGGACCCAATTTGTGAACTTTTCATATATTTAGGAGAATCTCCACATTGATTTTTGTATCCTTATGTTCATATTGTCACCAGTATTCAAATTCTTACTATTTAGGTCATTGCGTTCACTATCATAATTGTTAAATATTTTTCATTTATCATTTATTTTTATTGGTTAATTTTTGTGGCAGCTGTTATATAACAATCACTAGAGTTTCTCTATTCATGAAAGATGTCCATGTTAATGGAGGTAACTAGGAGTGTTACTTTACAGGTATGTAAACACAGATAATCTTGGCTGAACTGTGGCTATATTGTCTGGTGTCCCTTTGAAGGTGAAGCCTCTTGTGTTATTCTAAGTGACCTCTGGAGACAGAAACTGTCTCATAATTGCAGGGACGACTTGAGAAGGCATCCTGAGCCTATGCAGAAATGCAGAAGCACTTCCATGATCTAAGCAACCTATGTGAAGGCCTGAAAGCCAAAGCAAAGCTGTCCAACAAAACGTTTTCCTAGTAACACTGGAGGTCCATCAGTCACTCCTCCTGGTCTGGAAATGCCAGAAATGTCCTCCATGGTTCTTGTGAGGGTCTAGATCTTTTCAAAATCACCTCAGGAGCCACAGAACCACTCCAT